CTGATATTAATCTGCTTTTTTTTCCAGATTGAAAAATGTAAATCAAGCAGAGCTGCCTCAAGCCAATTTGCAGCTCTCACTGTGAAAATAACCTGCACCACTTGATGGTTTTAAGAAGTCTCACAGAAAATGTAAATGGGTACAAAATGAATATTCCAGATACAAAAGAAATACTTGTGGTCGTACACTGTGCTTTGCCTTCCATCAAAGTCCCATCCTCCACCAGCTGGAAACCTTTCTGGGCATCCCCTGAAATCCTGATTCCTTCTACAGACTGAAAATAAAATCATGCTACTCACCAAGAGATAAATGACCAGAAAGGAAGAACAACTGATTTGGATGGATTGTGCTGCCACACGTCCTTTTTGTACCAAGGGCTTTACAGGTACTATATCAGCTCTACACCACCAGTGTCATCAAAAGCTAAACAACTTCCACCTCACACTGGCCATAAATCCTTTACAGAGAAGGAGCAAATTCTCCCAATATTATAAATTCCCCCCAAAATGAAAATAAAGATAGAAGAAAGGACCAAACTCAATTCCTTCTCTTCCTTCCCGCTGCAGCGTTTGGCTGTTTAGTAAATTTTGAAAGAAACTTGTACAGGTTTTTCAAAGCTTCCTGACTGACACAAATTTTATCTCCTTTGCTTTGTAAATCTTATAATGTGATAATTTTTTTTTTTTGGAGGGGGGTCTGTTGGGTTTTTAGATCTGAGCATCTAAATGAAAACACGCTGGCGCTGCAGCTCACACCGAGCGCGGAGAACACAAGCTGCAGAATTCAATTAAAATGCTAAATTAATTCAATTGAATAAATCCTGTTAATGACACATTTTTCTATCAGCAAATTAAAGGAAACTCAGAACTTTTTAAAAGATGATTGGTGATGAATAATTTCCAGAAAGACACAGCAAGGGCACAGCAAGACGCACGACTCCAGCAAGATGGAGAACACAGTTCCAGAAGGAAAACATCAGCGATTCCCAGGTATTCCCAAGCAAGGAAAAGTTACCCCTCCTTACCTGCAACGAGCTCAAGTTTTTCTCCAGGATCTCCCTCCGAGTAGAGTTTTGGGTGGCAGCGGTATCCGATCTGACTGATAAGACTGGCCGGGAGAGCAACAAGATCCCGTCGGATGAGGACACAGGAGCGGTTCTCCAGCGGGATCTGCTCCGGCTTCTCTTGAGCAACTTAAGAATTAAAAGGGAAAACTGTTAAAATAACTTATTATGCAGGCACGACACTACCAGAAGGTCAGGCTTCGACTTTTCCACGGAGCAGTTGGAAATATTCCTCCCTCCAGATGTACGAGCGCTCGCTCGGCCGCAGGGCAGGTGCCACCTGAAAGCACAGGAAAATCCCCTGGTCTCCCCCCACCATCCACCACAGCAGCTTCACGTTCTGCAAGAGGGATTCTTAGAAACTAATTATGCTTTAACTTTTCCTGAGTTAATCATTTATGAAAATGGGCATCTCTGTACAGCTGGCATCGCTCTGCCAGCGCAGCACACGGAGCTGCTTCCCAAACGCTCCCAGAAGAACGGCAGGTAACTTCACCAGAGGGTTCTAAAACAGGCAGTAAATTGATAAACATCTGCATCAGTACCATAACTACTTCTCTTGATGGTTTTTTCCTGCTGAAGTTACAATCCAGGCCTTGCAGATACTGTCTGCCCTCAGAAAGGTCACCCCAGCCTCTCCCAAGGACAGCACCTCTGGCTCACCCTCCAAAGCACCTTCTCTTCCTCTGCCTTCTCCAGGCCAACATTTCCTCTCAGTAAGAAGAAAAACCCCAACCAAAAGCCAAAAAATGTTAGTGAAATGTGGCTCCAAAACCAAAACACCAGATTTTCCCAGCTTGGCCCAATGTACCATCCCCAGAGCCCTCCATTGCCCAGTAGCAACCAGTTCCATGGAAAAGCTGGAAGTATTGAGCAGTCCTACCAGCACTGCCAAGTCTGGGACTTGTGGATGCACAGATTTGTTTCTAAATCACATTTACAGTCCAAGACCACAAGATTGCTTAAAATGATAATTTTTGACAGCAAAACAGGTGTACATCAATTCCAGGGTGTGGTGGGAGCAGCTACAGTGCTGAATTGCAGCCCAGCTCTACAATGACCCCCCTTTTTCCCCCCAAACTGTTTGATAATGTGTCAAATGCCAAGTACAAAATCAAACCCAGCCCTGTGCTTCAATATCTGTGCACACAGAGAGAAGCAAAAACCCGCAGAAAGGAGCGTTTCTGAACTCAAAATGTCTCCTGCTCCAGAGGTGTCTTTTCCTGCGATTATTGCGGAGTTCTGGGGGCCACTTTTCCTCTCTCCAGATAAAATAACAAGTTTTGCAGAGTTGTTGCTGCAGTAACCAGGGGGTGATGGCTCTGGGACAATGGGAGCACTGTTCTAAGTAGGACATGCCCGGCACGCCGGGCTGTGCCGTGGCATCCTATCGCAGCCACGGGGCTGGGAGCATCCCACCCTCGGGGCTCCCTCCTTCCCTAAAAACTCCAAACACCAGGAGGATGCCCCCTCCTCATCCTTCAGGGATTAAGGACCAAACAGCGGCAGAAGAACCCACAGGATGTTTTTAAACCAAACTTCTCTCGCCATCACAGCCCCACTGACAGACAGAATTCTCCCCAGCTGCGACATTCCCCGTTTAGCAGCATTCCCAAGCATCCAGATCCAAGATCCCACTGGAGATGGGGGTCAACTTCTGCTCACACCAAGGGAGAATCTCAAAGATCTGAGATTTTGAGGCTTTCAAGGAGTGATAAGCGGAGTATATCCAATGAAATACTATTATTTTCCAGATTAAACAAACCGAAAGGAGAGGGGTGGTGGGTATGGAGGAACCAGCACCCGGGGAAGTCCTGCTCTGCTGTCCTTCCAGGGGTTTTTGGTTCCCACCAGAGTCCTCTGCAGGTCACACACAGGCTGAATTAAAAGGTAAAATTATATATATAACCCCTTTGAGCTGTATATATAACCTATACAACCCCTCCCCTTCAGCACAGCTCTCTGCCCAGGTTATGTAAAATTGCACTTTTAATATTGCATTTTTACTTTAACCCAAATGAGACAGAGTTCAGAGCAGAAGATCCTTGCAGCCTGTGATGGGAAGAGGAGAACTCAGCCTTGAACCTTCTCCCTTTTCCATCAAGTGTCTTTCTCAAGACTGGTGTCACTGAAGAAATTAAACACCTACAACATCCAAGTGCAAACAGCTCCAGTGGACAAGGACAAACCTAACTGCTCTGCCACCCTCCACAGGCAAACATCCAATAAAATCCTAAATTTTGGGGTCAAAGAGAGTAGCAATAATGAGGCAGGGAAGAGAAAGATCAGGACAAACACTATATTCATTCTACCTTCCTGGAAAAACCTGGATTTGGTGTCAAACCCGCTGCCTGAAAGAAAAGCAGCTTTTCAGGAAGACAATCCTGCCTGGAAGAGCTTGGCTTTTGATAATATTTCACTTCCTACACAAGGAGCCACGGAGAAGTTTCTGTTTCTTCCTGTGAAATCAAATACTTCTTAAAACAACCCAAAATGCAGCTAAAAAGACCAACTGTAACTCAACCCGCCCCTGGATTTTGGTTACATCTGCCCTGCTGACTCGCTGTCTATAAATCTCTTATTAAACACGGCCCTGAATCACTTTGGGGGCTTTGTTTCCATTCAGGCTTTAGCACGAATTCAACGGCACCAAACAAAAACTGTCAGAGATTTTGGGCTTTCAGTGCCACCTCCATGGAGCAGATAGCAATCAGTTATGTAAAGGAGCAGGACACAAGAGCCACTCTGGTCCCTGTTTCCAAAGAAAGCCAGTCTGTTTGGCCTTTATGCTCTGGAGAACAGGATAGTATTTGCTTCTAATTAATCTGTATCTTCAGAGGGCAGCGGCTCCTTCCCTTTGAATGAAAGGACAAACAATGGGAAGTATTGTTTGATACAGTTTTGTTCCTGACCAAGAAAGGAGCTCCCAGCCAGCAGAGAGGGGCAGGAAATCATTACGGAGGAAGCCACGAGAGCTGCCAGCCAAACACTGGAATATTTTATTTATTTGGATATATCCTTTCATCCCAAACTTATATGGATGCTGCAGCTGCAACAGGTGGTCCAGAATGGGAAATATCAATTTTTCTGGTTTTTTTTTTGGCTGAAAAAACAGCCTCAAGCTAACTCAGTGGTCCATGCTCCACAGCTCCAGGCTCTGCATGACGCTGGGGCACATGTCCACCCTGTCCCTAGAACACATTGTCCTGTTCAGCAGTCCCTCACACCACCTTTGTGCTGAGCCCATGAGGGTTTGGGGACACCAGGATGGCTGCACATCCCACCTGAGGTGTTTGGGACCAGAGATGCTGAGCCCACACTGACCCTCCCCAGTGATGGGCAACAAGCTGCTCAGGGGTCTGGCATCACTGGGAATGGCTGGACACACACCTGGCACCAGCACTCACTTATGCCCTTAGTTCCTGACAGTCCAAACACCAGGGCTTCAAAATTACTCATGAACCCCCAATTCCCACCAGTTTGGGTTCCCCAAACTGCACATAAACTTCAAGACATTCCCGTGGGCACGAAACAACAACTTATCACTTAGGAATGGAATTTGGAGATACAGAAAGAGCAGAGTGATGGAGCCTCACCCAAAAGTTAATGTTTAGACAGTCCCAACATGAAACCACAAGTCTCAAGCCCTGAAGAAAAGGTCTGAGAAACCACCTCCACCTGCTGCACCACCAGTCACTACGAATGCAACACTTGGATGATTCTCCCCTGTTCCCTACATGGTAAGTCTCTTTTCAAACAGCACCATTTCACCAACATTTCTATCCCATCAGCCTATTTTCCACTGGCTGACTACCCCAAAAATAGCATCCCTGCCACGGCATCACCAGCATCTGCTGCATATGTAAACCTGTACCAGAGGACACACACAGACACCACGGGACAGATCCATCACAGAGTCCCAACGGGGAGAGTTTACATTGTCCAAACAGCACATTTACAACAACTTACTGGAATGCAGAGATTTGATTTGTGACCTATTTATACAGGGAGGTAATCTGGAATTAGTATAGGAAAAATATTACTGGTTTATAAATACCCCTATCTTGCTTTCGCCTCAGATCTCAGCCAGGAGTGAAACATCTGCCAGCCTAAAATTAAACATCTGTGTTTTACAGGGAGGAAAATGGGACTGGAAGTTTAATGCCAAAAAAGGCCAGAGGCTGTGAGCCCCCAGTGTGGGGCTCAGCCTTTCTCCTGAGCCTTCCTCCCCCTCAGCACCACCAGTCCTGGAGTCGGGGTGGGAGATCCGGCACTGCCCGGCTCCCGTCGGCACAGAGGACCACAGAGTCATGTTGGAAAAGACCTCCAAAATTATCCAGTCCAATCAGCACCTTGTCAACTAAAGCCACACAGAGTAGCTTCCAGCAGTTGGGATGTTTGAATCCTGCAGCAAAATTCCAAAGTGAGCTGGTGGATAACCAGGGCATCCCTTCACCGCTTTATTTCCTGAATAACCACGAGCTCTTTGCTGCCGAGCATCCCCTCCCCGGGGTCAGACTGGCCACTGCAGGGTGGGCAGGGACAAGTGGGACCTTGTAGGATCAGGTCACATTCCTGCAGTTGGAACCAGCTCCTCCATCAGGCTGCAATTATCCAGCAGCACAGCCGTGATTTACGTCGCTGCAGCGCCTCGTGCCCAGGCTCAGGTCGGGATCTGTAGGGCTGCATCATTTTGGATTCTGGGCTGTTCCCTGCCCTCTTTCCTTACTGTCAGGAATCAGAGGCCAGGAGAGAAAACTATTCTCTCAGCTAATTACCACAACTATTCTATAATGGCTATTTTAGATGAATTTTTAATGAAGTGTGCTCTTGTCAGTTCAGGATTTCATAACTTTCAAGTCCAGCCTTTACATTCCAGCCATTTGCTGCATAAAGATTTTTCCTCTCCCCTGCAAACGGGTGCAGCAGGAGCAGGGGAGGAGGAAGGACCCTCACACAACTTCACTTGTGCCTATCAAAATTAAATTAACTGCATCTGCTGAGCTTGGAGCTGACTGACAACAACGTGGCTCAGTGCAGAAAAACGCCGAGCATCTGCAAGTCCTGCTCAAACCCACTTCAGCTCAGGCCCACGACGCTGTAATTAACAGGGATAAAAATACTTTGCTTTTGTTTAATATTTTCTGGAGTTGTGCATTCCTCAGATCAGATGCTGGAAACCTCATTAAGTCTCGCTCGTGTCCTCAAGGCCCACATGTTCTCCACAGCCAGACCTACTTATGGAACGAGGAGCCATTTTACCGCAGTGCTCCCGTCCTGCCACCAGGATGGTGACACCACCAGGGCCACTGAGCGTGGCCAGAGGACAGTGGGAGCTGAGCCACCTTCTCCCACATCCCTCTGCAAGCTGCCACCCTGTCTACCAACACCTAAGCCTGACCCTCCCATCGGCCTGTGTTTAACCCTGGGCTTGTCCTTTCGTTCATCTGCTGCTCCTTTTGCAGGTCCAACACTTGTGCTGGTCCCTCACACCAGAGTCACCACTGCAGGAGGGACATCACTCAACTCCTCACTCCCTCTTCTACCACCAAACCCTTGGCCAAGGTGATGATCTGCTCCTTGTTTCTCTGACCCCAGCTACCTGGAGGGAGGTTGGAGCAAAGCGGGATCGGCCTCTTCTCCCACATAACAAGCGACAGGACAAGAGGAAATGGCCTCAGGCTGCAGCAGGGGAGGTTCAGGTTGGACATTAGCAATAATTTCTTCATGGAAAGAGTAGCCAAGCATTGAAACAGACTGCCCAAGGATGTGGTGGAGTCACCATGGTGAAAGTGTTCAAGAAACAACTGCACGTGGCACTCAGTGCTCTGGCCTAGTTGACAAGGTGGTGTTTGGTCAAAGGTTGGACTTGATGATCTGGAGAATTTTCCCAACCTAAATGATTCTATGATTTGGAGATGTGCCTCTGGATCCAGATTTGGAGACTCAGAATGGTTCTGAGTACAAAAAGAGGTGAAGAAAAATAAATAAACTCCCCCTAGTCTTGGGGCAAGAAGAGGATTGATGACCCCAGCATGGGTGTGGGTGACGTTCAAGGCAAGCGAAGAGCACCAGCCACCAGCGTCCCACCACACACTCACCAGCATGAGCTCAGTCAACACTTCAGCTGGAGAATGAAAAAGCAGAGAAAAAGGAGGAAAAAAACCACTGCAACCAACCCTCTCTGAAATTCAGGGCTTCATCTGCTCTGCTCCTCTTTGGCTTTGTTTTTGTTTTCACAAACAGGGCTCTTGGAAACCTTGGCAATCCCTATTTTACAGGGCTCCCCCCTCCCCCAGGCCTTTGTGAGGCTGTCGGGATCGACATGCCAGGAGCAGGATTAGCTGCCTTCTCTCTTCCATCTCACGGGTTTATTATTCCACACCTTTTGAGGGTACAGTTTATCCCGAGTAATTAAAACACAGTTAGCTGTGCAAGTCCAAACCATAATGGAATAGCTTAGGTCTTATTTTTTTGTAATCTCTTTCTTGTGTGCTCTCTTTTCCAGGAAGCCTGAATACTATAGCTGGCTTATTTAAAACAGGAAACTCCCCTGAAATGTGCTGGTGAGGAAGAGGAATTTGAGCAGAAATGGGGGATATTGAGGCTTTACAACCTGTCTCCTCCCTGCCTCGGCATCATGACGTGGTTTGAGTCTTCTCCCTACAGAAAACAGGCAGAAAAACTTGGCTGTGGGATGCCCAGCTCCGGCACGAGCTGCAGCATCTCCAGTGACACCCGAGAAAGCTGCTCGGATTTTCACTTTTCCAACTGGGATGACTCCTGCCCCGCAAGGATTAGGGACACCCTCAGAGCTGCTGGTCCTGCCCTCGCCTTCTGAGTTGATTTTGTTCTGTTTCTGCATGAACTGGCCCCGTGACAGGGATGGAAAACACCGTGTCCAAGGGCATAATCCCACTGCTCCGAGGAATAACGTGTGAGCCCAGCACTGAAGGCAAACCCACATTACTCACCACAGGCTCTACAGCAGGGAAGAGCAAAGCAATATAAAATCAAAACAAGTGTGTGCAGAAACAGCCCAATTTCTGTTAAATCCGCCTCTAACAGCAGCTGTGGAGGAGACCCCGACCTTGTCCCCATCCCTGATCCTGCTCCTCTCCCGTCCCATCCCAACCACTGGGACCTGAAGCACAGCTGGGAGGGCACTCAGGCTTTTGAGGCTCATTTTCCACAGCTGCTGGTCCACTTTTCTCAGCAAACATTTCTAATGTTGAAATAGTAACCCTGCTACCCGCACGGCTTTCCCTCTTTTTCACACGGCTTGGAAAAAAAACTTGGAAAATATTGCTTATCTGCTCACTGTCTGGTAGAGGGACATGCCAAGGGGATGCTGAGCTCCTGCTCCTTGGGATGGGATAGGATGGGATGGGATGGCACAGGGTATCAGGCTGAGCCTGTTCCCAGTACTAGGGAAGCCTGGCTTGGGGTAACAGAAATTGTCCTATTTGCCAAATCTTGTTCCTTGGTTAAGACTAAAATCAAACCACTTCGAGGAAAGCTGATCAACACCAGCTCAGCAACAAACCAGAGCTAAACATTTGCAACATCAGCCCAGCAATTCCAGGATCCAGAGCAGGGAAGGCGGCTCCAGGCGAGCGGATGCCGCGTGCGGCCGGAGCCAGCGGGAAGATGTCCCTCCCCAGGGAGCACCCCTGGATCAAAGCTGCTGCCACAAACACCTGCAGCTCTGACAGGGAGGCCACTGCGAGGCTGAGCTTCCATGTGGGATGCTGCCAGCCTCGTCCAGGCGGGATGCTGTGAGCTGCTTCCACGTGGGATGCAGACACGCCAGAGCCCAGCGGGCATCTCCTCCTCTGGTCCTGAGCCCCTGGCTCTGTACCCACCCCTGATCCTCAAGAGGGTCTGAACCCTCCAAGGTGCCCAGGAAAGGGGGTGTGTGTCCAAGGAAGTGAGAGGGAAGGGGCCTCTTGTGCCCTTGTGCCCACTTCAGGGCTGAGCAGCAGCTCCAGGATGAGCAACACCAAAATGAAGCCATCTCCTCTGCCTCAGGCCCACCCAGGGATTCACACTACCATCCCTTATGGATCTTGGAAGGGTAAGAGAGGAATTTTACTTAGTTCTGTTTCTAATGCTGAAATAAAAAAAATTAAGCTCCCTCAAACTGCTTTTCCCTTTCCAACAGCGATGTGTTGGGGCAAGGCTGGCTAAGGAGAGGGGGGCACTTCAGGCGGTGGGGAGAAAAGTCCTCCTTTTCTTCTTTGTGAAGATATTCCTAATTAACACCTATTAAAATGATTTAGTTGATGTTTTTCTTCCTTGTACATTTACCACTTTAAAAAAAAATCTTATTCTAAAACACCAGGACAGGGGGACCGTGCCTGGCACCTCGCTGAAGACTAATTCCCAAAATAACCACCCAGACTTCACTGGGCCACCAAGGACTGATGCCTCCTTTCCCATGGATGACCACCCCTCTCAGATGACCCATGGTAGGAGAACTCAATCCTCACCTTGGGACGGGTGTCACCAGCACAGGGCTCATGCAACCACCAGGCCCCTTGTTGGCAGCCTCAGCCAAAAAGTGAAGGGCTGAGCTGACCGTGGTGGATGATGTGACCGTGGTGGATGATGTGACCGTGGTGGACGATGCAGCCACTCATTTAAAGGGCCTCCCAGCTGGGGACACAACCCGGGAGCGATGGCGTGGCAGGACCTGCCCATGCCACACCCGGACACCAGCACCAAGCCCACCACGTGCATCGCCTCCTGCGCCGCGCCACGAAAACCAACAGACGAAGCCCTCAAAGACAAAAGCCCGACGAACAACCCAAACCGACCCGTGGCGGCCAGACAAGGCCCAAGCAACCCCTGCAGGGGAGCAGAAAACCCAAGGACAGAGACGCCCATTACCAGAGTAGCCTCCCGAGGACTTGATGTACATCTGCCCGTACTGCTCCTCCACCATGGTGTCGTAGGCCTCGTCATCCTCCTCGTCCTCCTCGTTGTGGTAGGAGGTGGGGCTGTCGGTGGTGGGAATGCTGCTGGCGCCGGGGCTCGTCCGCTCCCCCTGCGAGTACTGCACCTGCTGCACGTTGGGGATGAGGGTGGCCAGGTTGGGCATCCCGTAGTAGGACACGCGGGAGAGCTTCAGGGGCCCCGCGTTGGCGCCGCCGCCTGCAGCCCCGTCCCGGGCGCCGGGTTCCAGGGGCCTTTTCCCAGGCCCGCCGGGCAGGGCGGCCGCCTGCAGCTCCATGTTCTCGTGTTTGACGCGCGTGAGGAGCGGGATGGGCATGGAGGGGGACATGACGTAGGGCGCCGAGGCCGACTGCAGCTGGTTGCAGGGGCTCTGCGGCTCCGAGCTGGGGTCTTCGATCATGGTGGTCTGAGAGTCACAGTGGGGCGAGCTGACCTTGAACATCAAGTCCGTGCCTTTCTCCACGATGTGCTGGATCTGCAGGAAGCCTGCCGTGTACATCACCACCAGCTGCTCGCTCGCGGCCATGGTCAGCTTCCCGGTGTAGCAGAAGGAGAGGATCTGCTGGAAGCAGGCGGGGGGGACGGTACCCGGCAGCTCAAAGGCGTTTTTGCTGTTCCCACTGAACAAGTCTCGGAAGTAGAGGCTGCTGGCAGCCAGCACCGCCCGGTGAGCCTTGAAGGCCTGGCCCTTCACCACGATGGAGACATCGCAGTACAGCCCCAGCAGCCGCTGCTCGTTCAGGCAGCCCAGAACGGTGTTCCCGAAGTTGGGAATCTCTATGTGCAACATCTGCGACATGGCTCAGGATCGGCTGGAGCTCCTCAGACATTCAATGCAGGAATATCCAAAGTAGGGCACATCTGAAAGAGGGAGAAGGCAGGGAGAGAGGAACAGCGTTTTTAGACAGTTCACCAAAGCAGGCGAAGCAGAGGACCCCACCTCACCCGACATCAAAGGCTCAAAATGAGCTCTGAGAGCCGACGTGGAAAAAGCAATCGCTCATAAAAATTACTTATCAATGTCTTCAACCCACGCTGGGAACGCTATTCCAAGGATATTCCCCCAAAAATGCAAGTATTTCCTTCAAGTTGCGGTCTGTTTAAATAAGCACCACTGATTTATTCCCCCGGGGCTTTTACTTTACGCAGGAAAATCTGAACGATAATGGGAGAGAACAGTAAAGCAAACGAAAGACAGTCAGACAGATCTCCGGTAGCATTATATAAGAAACACAACAACCAGCAGCTCTGTTGAAACTACAGAAAAGATATTTATAAAACAATGTGCCATTCTGCCCGAAATAAATACAGGATTCTGCCGGAGCGACAGCTCCCAGGAAAAAGCACTTTGAAAAGCAATCTTCCCATTTGCACCAGAAAGAGGGAGCATTTCAACAGTTAAACCCCTTCTCAACAGATTTATCCTCCAACAAAACGAGGCTTAGCTCCAAATTAAGCCAGATATTTGAGCCCCAATAAAACAAACCAAGTGCTGCAGCGAGCCGCCTACCACGTTGTCTTCTAATTTTCACCCCCCCTAAACCCAAAGCGGGGCAGGGGGAGCCCCAGCCCAGCCCCTCCTGCGGCCAGAGCCCCCCGGTGCCCCCCAGCCCCCGGGTACCGGCGGCGAGGACCCTCCGAGCAAAACCCCCCGGGCTGGAGGCGACGGCTCCGGCTCCGCATCCCAGCGCGGCCGCTCCTCGGGGCCAGCCGTACCTTTTGGCCGCGGGGAGAATTCCTGCTTCCACCACCCGAAAGGAAGCCTGGCGTTGGGAAGGGACCTCGTGCAAACCCGCAGCAGGTAATGCCAGCGCAGCCCGAGCTCCGAAAACTCCAGCGGAGCAAATCACTGCGGATCCACCGACACGAGCCGGAGCCCAAACCCCCCCTCCCTCCTTGCTCCCTCCCCGAAGAGTCCAGGAGGTTTAAAATCCTGTTTGCCTTCAATACTACTGAAGCAAAACTACGGTTAACTAGTACCGAAAGCTCGGAAGAACGATATTTAAAAAAAAAAAAAAGAGGGGGGGGAATAGAAGTTTATCTGCGAAAGATTAAAAAAAGAAAAAAATCTCTGCAAAGAAAATAATAACCCACAAAGAGCTGCTCTGTTCCCATTGCTGGGGAGGAAAAAAAAAAAGAGGAAAAAAAAAAAAAGTCCTATCTGCAAGGCCACGGGGTAACAGGAAGAAAAGGGAACACACTCGGAGCCAATTTAATTGTATCTGCATGGTTAAAAAAAAAAAAAAGAAAAAAAAAAATCCTTCCAAGCGAGGAAGTTGCCGGTGCCTTCGCCCGGCTGGGAGCGAACGTACCTTGAGCAGCGTCCGCTCGCCGAGGGGCTCCGGGTCCCCCGATCGCTGCCGCCGAGGGCTCAGGGGAGTGGGGGGGAATAAAACAGAGTATCAAGCCCTGGGTTTGTATCTGCTGGAGCTGAAGCTTTTACCAAGTCAAATCTCCCCGGCAGCGCACAGCATCTAAATGAATAGGCCGGATGCAGATTAACATTCAGGCTGCTCTCTGCAATGAATAGAGCCCTTTGATTAGGGACCTGAAGTAAATGCCAGTTTCAAACCGAAGCTTTAAAAACAGAGAAATATCAGTGCCAGAGGAATGCTCTCAGTGTTGGTACAAGACAGACTTTTGATGAGTCACTGCAATGCAAACAAAGATGGCAGAAATACTGTACTGTATGCTGATGAAATGCTTAGTGGTGCCACGGCAACTGAGACAGGTTTTAAATTTATAGTGCAGTTTTGCATATGAATTACGCTGTAAACTGCCTCCCCTGCCATCTAGTACATCCAGAGTGTCAAAGCATTTAAACTATTCCAAACAGTCTGCAGAGCTGGCACTGCTGCTGGTTAACTCCTGCGGCCGGAGGAAGGCACTGAGCAGGGGTGGGGAGCATCCCCTGCATCCCCCCAGCTTTCTCCTGTATCCCCAGCATCCCCCCAGCATCCCTTGTACCCTCCAGCATCCTCCTGCATCGCCTGTATCCTCAGCATCCTCCTGTATCACTCCTATATCCCCCCAGTATCGTCCTGCATCTCCCCAGCATCCTCCTGCATGCCCTCAGCATCTCCCCAGTATCATCCTGCATCCCCCCAGCATCCTCCTGCATCACCCCTGCATCCCCTCAGCATCCTCCTGCATCCCTCCAGCATCCTCCTGCATCCCTCCAGCATCCCCTGCATTCTCCTGCATCCCCCCCAACAACCCCTGCATCCCGCCCAGCATCCCCTAAATCCCCCCCAGCAACCCCTGCATCCTCCCCAGCATCCTCCCATCTGCCCCAGCATCCCACCTGCCCCAGCATCCCACCCCAAGAGCTCCCCAAAACCACCCACCCAAAAGCAGAGCTTTGGGAATGCCCAAATCTGCCCAAAATAAAGGTGCTCCTTGGGCAGCCACAGTCCTGCCTTCTGCCCCCCCCCCCCAGCCCCTCCCCAATACAAGAAAGCCTTTCAAATGCAGGAAAAATGTTTACCCCTTGGGGAAAGCTTCTTTCAGTCTGTGGCTGAATCCACTAAAAGCAAATCCATTTGCTTAAGTAATGAAATCCCAGTCACATTGTCTCCTGGATTCAGATTTTAAATTACCTTCGCATTTATTGAGCATGTTTGGTGCTTTTTTCTGGGAAAGAGGGTGGGGCCTCCCTTTGCTCACTTCTGCCTTGCCCAGGGTGTTTTTAGTTCTGCCCTGCTCTCCAGTTTGGTTCAATTGCTCTGCTTGGATGGTCACACACACTTAACATTTCGGAGCTGGGAGGTGAACCCACCCTTAGTGGAGGGCAACTGCAGGGAGCACAGGGCTGGGGATGCTCTGGTGTGATCCTTTCCCTCCTGATGCTGCTCAGATCTCCACTCCCACATCCAAAGAGATGTTTGGTGCACGAAGTTCAACTCCAGAGCAGTAAAACCGGGGCTGGGCTGCCTTCCCCTGCACTTCCAGCGACACCAGCAGCACAGCTGCTCTGCATCCCACGGGACCTGCAGCCTCCCGGCGCCTGGCAGAGCCACCCCGCTCCCAGAGCAGGATCTCCAGGCACTGGGAATGCTCAGGGACCCCAGGGCAGGCGACTGGGATCTCTGCCTGGTGTTGATGAGGAGGCAAAGGCACCGAGAGCGGCCCAAGGTGACACCCTGTGAGGAGGTCAGGGATGACCCCTCGACAGCCAAGCCTGAGAGCCCCCAAAACCTCTTCCAACCATCCCACCACCCATCTCTGCTGGAGAAGGGATGGAGTCTGCCCTGGCAAATGCAGATCCACTCTGGATCTGGGAGAATTACTGAGAAGAATGTGCTTCACAGAATAAACTTCATTGCTCAGGCACCTGAAGGAAGCCTCACCCATGGTGATGGCAGACCATGGATGGAGGAGGATCTCCTCCTCCTCTTTTTCTCCCAGGAGGGGCTCCCTAAGAGCTGGAGGAGAGACCAGGAAGGCCCTGGATGGGACCTCCTTGGACCCAGCAGGGCAGGATGTGAGGGACCAGCCAAGGACAGCTCAGTAGCACAGAACAAGCCAACTTAAAATAGATATTAATTATTAATATTGCTTTGAATTTGCTCTATAAACAAGCCAGGCATGCCAGGAGCAACCCATGTCTCCCTAAAAACACCAAAATTGAGCTGGTTTAGGGTATGTTTAAGTCAGAGAGAAGCATCAGAGTGCCCCAGCCTCCCAAATCCTTGGCAGATCTCATGTACAACCTCCCAAGATGCTCCACACAACTGGTCCCTCCCAAAATATGGTTCTCAGGGAAATGGTGAGAAAAGTAACCATCTTTGGTCTAGAAAGAGCATTGAGGAACACAAGCCAAGCTGTACCAGCAAGCTGCAAAAGCCCAAACTACTCCAATAAACTGCCAGTCAGGACTGCTGGAATTTTTTTCTTCCTCCTCCCTTTCCCCCGGTCTTTTTATGACCAGACTGTATTAAAAAAAAAATCTAAAAAACCCTCCACCCAAAAACACCAACAACCTCAAATCCCCCAAGAATCCAAGAAATAAAAGAAGTCTTGAAAGCCAAGGAGAGCCTGCTCACAACCAAAGCTCACATTCCCTAAAAACAACAGCAACAAAATGCTACTGTGACTAGATGGCAAATGCAGCAACACTTGATAATGTCTATCTTAAAAAGATCCTCTACTAAATACGATTATTTTTCTTTTAAATAGAGCAGCGAGTGACTTCTGAAGGGTTTGAAATGGCTTCAGCCCATCTGACATTGGAAGAGCTGCGCTGCAGGAAAAATGACCTTTGCAATTCCAGATGTAAACTGTATTTTTCCAACCTCATCTCCCAAGCTGAGCTGTGCCCCACGGTGCAGGAGGAGCTCCCAGCACCCTCCCCACCCAAAAAAATCCAGTCCCCTTCGGGCTGCCGTGTCCTACAGGTGACAGACCATCAACTGGACACCTCCAAACGGGAAAACTTGGACCAAAGTGGATTAAAACCAGCCAAGCACCTCCTACTTTGATTATCTGACATATGTGACCACTCAGGCAAAACATCAATTTGTTTTCTGATGGCAGCCTCTTTTTCCAGCACTTGGATACAGCAGGACAATTTGTACATCTCTGCCTGATTTTTGTAAAGTCATAGCTTTTGTCACAAGATGTTCATAAAAAATGCAGCCGTTATTTGAGACAACTTCCAGGAGAGTTTGGGAATTCTCAGCCTCTGCCCTCATCTGCTTTGGGGAAAAAAAAAGCAGATCTGCTCTTTTCCAAACTAATTCCCTGCTCCGAGGCCTGAAAGGTTGGGAAGAGGCGACAGCAACAAAGGAAAAAAGCATCGACCTGGAATAAGATGCTGCCATCAGAGCTCCCCCAGGAGTAATCAGAAATAATTAGAGAATGTATTTAAATTGTCTTTTTTTCTTAGCCAAACAACATGCAAAGAGCCTCAGCGGTGAATCACCCCCCAAAAAAGCCCCCAAATATCCCCAAAGTCCTGCAGTTCCCGCAGGAAGGTGCTCTGGGCAGCAGCTGGGGCAAGGACAAAGGGACAGGGACCCTCTGGGGGTGGGAGACAAAGCAGCCAAAGGCTTTCACCCCCCCAGCCCAAGCCCCTCGAAAGAAAAGAGCTGAAAAGTCCTGCCCTTGAAGGCCCCAAAGGGTCAAAGGAAACTTCTCTTTCTTCTGTAAATGAGGAGAGAGGGGGGAAAAATCCCACCCTTGGATTTGAGGCTGGCAGGGGTTGTCATCCACCAAAGCCACCCAGTACCCCCAGGCACAGGGTGCCACCTGCCCTGCCCTCAGCACACGGTTTTGGGGTTGTTTCCCCCCTCCTTTTAATGCAAAGGAAATGCACTTTTACACAAACCCAAGGGAAAATACGCAACAGCTCCCTGCAAACTCAGCAGCCAAGTACCATCCCCTGAGCCCAGAGCTGCTGTAATGCCTCAAATGAAATAAAGAGTTAAATAAAATAAAGAGTTAAATTAAGTCAAATAAAATGCACTTCAGGTCTAGGCTGTGCATCCCCCTCCTCCCCCCCCCTGCACCGCAGGGAGACAAGAAGCCAAAAAGTCATTGCACCCCAAAACTGAGCATCCCCCCCCCTGAAAGGGGTAGAAAATCCCGGAGGGGAAGGGAGAGGGATTGGGGCTGGGCCGTGGAACGCTGTGGATGCCTGTGCAGAGGAAAACAAGGTTAAGTTCAGTAATCAAATGCCAGTCCTAGCGAGGCTCCTCTCCTGCAGCACCGGGAGCTGCAGCTCCAAAGTATTTATTTTTGAAATGCTGCAAGTGGCAAGCGGCGCGGACGGCCCCTATTTTTAGTGTAGCAGCCAGTGGCAATGGGTGAAAGAAGATTATTTCTGCCTTATTAAGAGCCCAAAGTGAATTTGCAAAATATTCCTCAGTAGCACACCAGCAGCCCACACGCAGCAGACATGCAGCACGGGGCTTCAGAATCCTGGAAGTTCGCACAGAAAGTACAGACCTGCAGGCTCGGGCAGGGAATGGGGGGGGAGAAGATGGAAAAGTGAGCTGAATTAATGCTTGGTGATGCAGCTCAGGAGGTGAGTGTGGCCCCACTGCCAGGGCAGCCTGGGGTGGGGTGATGGGTGCTCGGCTTGGGGACCCCCGCACAGCCTCTGGAGCTTTGCTCAGGGACCCCAGCACAGCCCTGGGGTCTCTCCCTGGGGACCCCAGCACAGCCCTGGGGTCTCTCCTTGGAGACCCCAGTACAACCCTGGAGGATCTTCCCAGGGACCCCAGCACAGCCTTGGGGTCCCTCCTTGCAGACCTCAACACAGCCTTGGGGTCTCTCCCCAGGGACCCCAGTACAGCCCTCGGGTCTCTTCCCAGAGACCCCGGGATAGCCCCCAGCATCTCTCCCTGGGGACCCTGGCACAGTCCCAAGGGGTCTCTCCTTGGGGACCCCAGCACAGCTGTGAGGGGTCTCTCTGTGGGGACCCTGGCACAGCCCTGGTACCTCTTCCCAGAGACCCTGGCACAGCCCTGGGGTCTCTCCATGGAGACCCCTGGCATAACCCCAAGCCCTGAGGGGTCTCTCCTTGAGCACCCCAGCATAACCCCAAGCATCTCTCCCTGGGGAGCCCAGCACAGC